TGTGGTTTTGGGAGAAGGCCTCTGTCTCTCACCTCTCACGCTGCCATCTTTAATCTCTTCTGTAGTTTGTTTTTTTAAATGAGTACCAATGACCTCTCATATGACTTAAAGCTCAAAGAGCATTTATTAGCAGAACCCCACCCCACTCCCAAGCATAGAAATTAACTTTGAGCAGTCTAGTTATATTTTAACCAAAAACTTTGGTTTTTTTCCTCTTACACTAAGCATAGTTCCCCACAGAGTGGTTTTTTCCAAAGTAGTTTGCAAAATTATCTGCAAGAGAATTTCTCATGTTTGAAAGGAAAGAGCCACACTGCATAAAAAACATCCTAACACCTCCATTATTACAAAAAAGTATGGGTCATTTATTTAAAAAAGAAAAATTTTCACATGGTTCCATGTTTAAATATGGTTCACTCTTAAGTCAACATAGCTGTCCATACTGAACTCATCTGCTAATTGACAGTATATTTAAAGAAGTTTTGAGATTTTTCACATTTCAAATGGTATACACAATATCTATCCATACATAATTGGTCAATAAGTATTCACAGAATTTCTACATTTCAGAACCTCTGCTTAGCACAGAAGAAAATAAAGCAACATGTGTTACAGCAGAGTTGTCTATAAAAGGATGTGTGAAATTAAGTCATTTAAACAATAACTATAACTAGTATTCTTTTTTTAATTTTTTATTAATGTACGATTGATACACACTCTTATGAAGGTTTCACATGAAAAAACAATGTAATGACTACATTTACCCATATTATCAAGTCCCCAACCCATACCCCAATGCAGTCACTGTCCATTAGTGCAGCAAGTTGCCAAAGAATCACTATGTCCCTTCTCTGTGATACACTGTTCTTTCTGTGATCCCCCGCACCGTGTCTACTAAACATAATACTCCTCAGTCCCCTTCTCCCTCCCTCCCCACCTGCCTTCCCACACCCCTCCCCTTTGGTAACCACTAGTTCATTCTTGGAGTCTCTGAGTCTGCTACCATTTTGTTCCTTCAGTTTTGCTTCATTGTTATACTCCACAAATGAGGGAAATCATTTGGCACTTGTCTTTCTCCGCCTGGCTTATTTCACTGAGCATGTTCTCCAGCTCCATCCATGTTGTTGAAATGGTAGGATTTGTTTCTTTCTTATGACTGAATAGTATTTCATTGTATGTATGTACCACCTCTTCTTTAACCATTCATCTACAGATGGACACTTAGGTTGCTTCCATATTTTGGCTATCATAGAAAGTGCTGCGATGAACATAGGGGTGCATATGTCTTTTTGAATCTGAGAAGTTGTATTCTTTGGGTATATTCCAAGAAGTGGAATTCTGGGGTCAAATGGTATTTCTATTTTTAGTTTTTTGAGGAATCTCCTATTGCTTTCCACAATGGTTGAACTAGCTTACATTCCCACCAGCAGTGTTGGAGGGTTCCCCTTTCTCCATATCCTCGCCAACATTTGTTGTTCTTAGTCTTTTCAATGCTGGCCATCCTTACTGGTATGATGTGATATCTCATTGTGGTTTTAATTTGCATTTCCCTGATGATTAGTGATGTGGAGCATCTTTTCATGTGTCTGTTGGCCATCTGAATTTGTTCTTTGGAGAACCATCTCTTCATATCCTCTGCCCATTTGTTAATCGGGTTATTTGCTTTTTGGGTGTTGAGGTGTGTAAGTTCTTTATTTATTTTGGATGTTAACCCCTTGTCAGATATGTCATTTGCAAATATATTCTCCCATACTATAGGATGCCTTTTTGTTTTGTTGATGATGTCCTTTGTATAACTAGTATTCTTATCACAAGTAATCTCCATATAACATATAATTACTGAGATATACCACTTAAGACAATTATAACCTCAGAAAATATTATCATCACGTCATGAAGTAAAACCTCATAATTAGAGATGAAGTATCATGTCTATAATATACTTTTCACAACTGGTTCAGTTTTTAAAACGTACTTGTATTTATGGAGATAAAATCAGTGTGACAAAATGCTAATAGCAACTTTAGGTGAAGAGTATAATGTATTCATTGCACAACTGTTCTTTCAACTTCTCTAAGATTTTAAACTTTTCAAAATGAAACAGGAAGTTAGGAATACCCTACCCCATTCATTTGAGAGGTTGCAGCTATAGGAGTCATTTGAGTTGTTCCTCTTATGAGTCAGAGTATTTTATTATCAAGGAATAGAGCCTGAAATAATATCCAATTTTTAAAAAATGTTTGCTGTGAAGATGTGAAATCAGTGATCATTTTTTATAGAATTCAAAATTTTCATTATTTTCTTCAGTGACTGAAAATCAGGAGACACACTATTTGCTACCGACTATGCTACTTGTTTTCTAGGAATGAAGAACTCTGCAGATTGACATTCTAGTCAAAAATTTTTTCAAGTAGCCACATCATTTTTATGGTACAACTACCAATGACCTATCAGTATCAATTTCCATGCATCTTTTAATTCAAAATAATTACTATCTAGATGAAAAATCACTTCTGCAACACAAGATCCCACTAATAAGGAATACAAAGTTACAAGCACTGACATCTCCCCTCACACATGACAAGAGTAGATTCACATCTGGCATCAAATTTTTCCAAATCTAAAAGCAAAGTACTAATATTTCACACTGCATGTTATATAAAGTTGTGATGCTCAAAGATGTCAATTCTTTACTATCTAAGTAAAATACTCTACATCATTGTGTCTGATTTTACAAGGGCAGCAATAATGTGACTTTGCCTTTTTTACTGTGAGAAGTACGTTTTCTCGTCTATAACTTTAGCAACTTAGAGTAATTAACTTTGTACTGGTAAATATTATTCTGTGCTCACTCTAGAAAACAAACTTCTTTGTTTTACCAAAGAAGTTAACATGCTTAACTTAAACACAACAGTAAAAGTTTCAAGGCTTTGTGACTAGGATTCACAAAAAGCCAACACTTTTTTGCTTTGGATTCTAGGGAAAAATAGCTAACAAGTACAATTTCCAGATATTTAGCATATTGTCTATTTAATTTCTACCTTTTAGTTCCTTAGAAAATTCAACAGATATACAGACTAACTTGTCTAAGCACACAGAGATTAAAATTTAACATTCAGACTGCAGTGTTTATCATTATCAATTTTTTAGAGTTTTGGATTGTTTTAAATATTAATAGTTTTGGTTAGTAGTATCTACTACTATATAATACAATAAACCACTTTTGAATAAATGGCCAATTTTATGAATTAAGGATATGATGCAAACTAACAGTAAAAAAAAATCAGGCTTAAAGGAACAAAACAAAAAAACATTAGCTTGCTTTTCCTGGAAAAGCAATATGAAAGCAACCTGCATCCTGTTTTAAATGTGAGCTAGCACCAACGACCAATTTAATCCTTGCAGCTATACACTTAAAACCAAATTACAGAAGATCATTAGGAAAAAACCCTGAAAGCCTCTTGGCACCAACTATGAGAATGGTTTTTCCTTCTTACAAGAAAAAGAATCACAACTAGTATTCTTGAGGAAGGAAGAACTTAGTTCTTTCCTATTAGGAGACAAAAGAGTAAAATGTTCATAACCTTGAAGCCCTCTGTCTCTCCTCTACTTAACAAGAAACTTGTTCCTGTATAGCTCAGTAAAGCTAAGGAAAGTGGTAAATGGATTTTAGGATAGGCAGGGGTTATAAATAACTCTTCCATGGGCTGAAAAATTCTTCTACACAGAATTCTATACAGAGGTTCACCTGCAGAATGTAGACATACTTTCTGTTATCTGTCCCCCCAGTCTCCAGGGTTTGAGTCCAGGGCAAGTAGAACTACCACCTTCAGGCAATAGGCTGAAAGCAGTATGGATAATAATATCTGGATATTACTTGTACATTGCATTTACTGGGAACATGTAAAACCCTTTAAATTGGTCTGTCTCAGTGTTGTGAAATCTGTTGCATTTTTATGAAAACCTGTTTTCATCTTATGAAAATAATCAGAATGGTATTACCAAGATTGAGTTTTCCCCAAAATTCAAAGACAGTTATAAGGACACTCTATAACAAGTAGTTCAAAGTTTATAAAATGTATATAAACAAAATTTATTGTAGACTACTTGGTCACACAAGGAACTTACAGATCACAATATTAAAGACACTGACCTGAGATAAATGGTGGCTAACTACTCATTTAATACTTATTAAATCAAACTGAACATAGATAGCATCAATATTCAATCTCTCAAGGGGTTCCAGGTCTTACTAGGCTAAAATGCTATCTGCTCCCATAAATGTAATAAAGTACTTTTACTGTATTACTGTAATACAGAAACTTTTACTGTTTAATGTTTAATATTTTAATAACAGTCTTTCCCAAGACTATAAGTCTCTGAGAGCTGCAATACTGTCTTTTTTATTACTTTCTCACCAGAAGCAATATAAAACTCAAGAGTTTAAATGATCTAAAATTATAAGACAGACTCAAAACTAATTCCTAATTTCAAATGTGTTGCTCTCCCTCTGCTTAACTGTTCTCCTAACATATTTACAGAGTACCAAATACTTAAAAGGCGCATGCTGGGCCAATCACCTTGGAAAACTGAATGTGTAAGTTCAGCTCTCTAACCACTAAAAAAAATGTATTATCAAAATTCTTACATCTACAGTACTAAAGGATGAGCAGACATTTTAGTATCCCATTAAGTAAATGGCATTAAAATTAATTTAAGGTAAAGTGTTAACTAAAGTATAACAACAGGGCCTGTAAGACTAATAAGAAAACAAAGCCTCATATTTTAATTTATAATTCCTATAGAGAGTTGTCAGCAGCTTCTGCTGGATTATCATACAAAGACTGACTACACAGACCAGTAAGTACTAACATGAATAGAAGTATGAAGTTTCTGCATTTTTCTGCAAAAAGTTGAGCTAATTATTTAACATAATTTATGACATTTTAAAACACCCTTCTACTTTGATTTAATTAAACAGGAAACGAATTATTACATACTCTTTTTAATGTTTTTGGTTTGTGGATGTGGTTGAATTCCTCCAGCTGGGAGTCCATAGGTGCTTATTCGTTGTACAAGACTTGCTACATTCCCATGCCTTTCCCGTTTGATAGGCAAATTGTCATTCTTGGATTCTGTTTCTCTCTTAATTTCCTATAAAAGAGGAAATCAGTAAATAGGGAAATTAAGTTAAATTTTATTAAGTTCTCAAATGTAAAATACCAGAATACTGGTATAGTGGTTACCACACAAAACATATCAACAGTTTTCAACCTTTTCCTCTGCCCATGCTCACATTTATCTAAAGAATGAAACACACTTTGGTAACAATGACTCATATGAGTTTACATCTTATCAGAACTGGAGATGGAGGTTAAGAATGGGAGGCTGAAACATTACCTCCACCCCAACACACAAAGAAACCCTGAAATACATAAACAAACAATAAGACAAACAAAGATTCTAAGTCAGGGGTAGGCAAACCTTTTCTATAAAGGGCCATACAGTAAAATATTTTAGGATTTGCCAGCCACACAATCTCTGTTCCAATGAGCTTTGTCATTTTAGTGTAAAAGTGGTCATATAACTAAAGGAATGAACATAGCTAAGCTCCAACAAAATTTTATTTATGGATGCTAAAACTTCTATTTCATATAATTTTCAATATCAATAATTATTATTATTCTTTTGATTTCTTCCAACTATTCATAAAATTTTTGCAAGCATTCTCAGCTCATGGACATTACAGAAACAGATGGCATTC